ATTATTATTATTATTATTATTATTATTATTATTATTTATTATCCCGGAACGCCCAAATGAACACTACTAGTACAATAGCCCAGTTATTGCCTCCTCCCCGAAAGTGAAAGGTTGATGTGACCCGAGAACATCACGTGCAAGCAGCGCATCTTCTTACCGTATGGTTTATCTTTTTCTAGAACAGAAGCGAGTCCCTGTGGCGAAGTTACTGGGTTATCAGTAACTGAAAGCGAAAGTTCGTCTTGATGTATTGGTTGCAAGTTACTCTCTGTATGATGGCAGTTCCTAAAATAGGATTGCCTCACGTGAAACAGGACATGTGCGAGATTGTCGGATATTGTTTTTGACACTTTAGTAGTTTGCCGCTTCCCTCACCTGAGACGGTGTCACTCAGTTCTGATTATCTGAAAGCATTTTGTCCGGTGAACTTTTCCACACGTATAAAAACACATAGGCCGGCAAACATGTTTTTTTTTCGGGGAACATCTCGCTGGACGTTGTAAACTACAGGAACAAACATACTTGTATGGCATGTGATCCCCAGATTTTGTACACGAACAGCGGACCCAAATTAGGAGTTTGGACTTTTTTGTTTTGGGGGATGAACGAGTAGTCCTCCAAGTACAAAACAAAGCGGAATCATTGATGAAAGAATCGTAAACATAATTGTAAAACCTCGAAAGTTTTAAAAAGGTCATTGCCTAGCGATGCGTGATGGAGCACATCAATGTCATGCATAAAATGGGAGGAATCAAACATTTTGTTCATAGCCACACCACTCTTGTTTGAACGGCTGTCCTCCTGCTCTGGCGCAATTATTCCGGTGAGTCCACACCAAAGGGAAGCACTGGACTCGAGTTTTGCTCTTATTAGAGCTCATCAGAAGTGCATATCCAGTGAACGTGCCGGGGTCTGACTTGCGAGGCGGCCATGTAACCACTACTCCACCGGCGCAGGTTGGATGCATCTGAATTTTCACGTCTGAACGGGCGAATGTGTTCACACTTGAGCTATGTGATTGGTGTGCCCGACTCATCGAACGGCGACCCAGTAACTGTCCTGGTTGTGACGATCGATTGACCCGCCAGTCAGGCTATGAACAAAATACCTATCCCGCAAAACCCCAAAATTGCAACCAAAAATCTGCCCAGTGGGGTTTCAAGTGTGTGCCACGCTACCTGACTGGCGGGTCAATCGATCCTCACAACCAGGTCAGTTACTGGGTCGTCGTTCGATGAGTAGGGCACGCCAATCACATCTCTCAAGCGTGAACACGTTCGCCTGTTCAGAAGGGATAATTCGGTTGCGTCCAACGTGCGTTGGTGGAGTAGTGGTTACAAGCTCGCTTCGCATATCAGATACCGGGGGTTCAGATCCCGTCACGGTCATTGGATATGCACTGCTGATGAGCACTAATAGGAGCGAAACTCGAGTCCGTTGTTTCCTTTGGTGTGGAACTCACCGGAATAATTACACCAGAACAGGAACATGGCCGTTCAAACGACAAATGAGAGTGGTGTGGCTATGAACAGAATACCCACCCCGCAAAACCCTAGAGTCACACATTGTTGTCCGCTACAATCATTTGGTTGGCCTACGATAGGCACATCGCTGAAAGGGGTAAAAAGCGAGTATACGAGCGTGAAACACTTTTACGGTGAACTTTAAACCTTAACGAGAATAATGACTCAAGAATGAGTTCCGCGTTGACTATACGTCGTTTCATAACTACAATCTGATGTGTGTGTCCACAGTTTTGGCCCTCAGTATGCAGATTACGATGGATTCTGGTCAGCTGTTTTCTTGTAACTTCGTTCATGTAATATTCCTTCCAATCCGCATCGACTTATCTGACCGGGATGTATGCACAGAGCAATTTCGACTTCAGTACTTTGAACGCGTTACATTCTACCGGAAATTTACGCTTAATTCGCAAAAAATTTGGGAACACCGAACTTTTCACAAGTGTGTTTAGATCCACCGGGCCTGGTTCGGCAGTGTACAAACGCAAGTGCATCTCAGCATCAGTAAGACAGCCACTGACAGGTAGTTGAGAGCATTCAGGCAAACATTTTAGAATGATAGACTTCTAAGTTTAGTTACAAATTTCGCAGAAATACAAAATTTTTAAGAGTATGGATACACTTGGCAAGCGAATCCAGTAGAAATGATGATTTTATCCGTCTTGTCCATTAGAAATACTGTAAAGTTGACGATAATGGTTGCCGCATCTGTCCGATACTTATTCCTCCTGGAAACGAGTCACTTGCTGATGAACTGAGTGCATTCGCCGTTCGCCTACCGGAACACTGCTAACCGGCGATATTCTAACTTTGCTTCATATACTCTTATAATAAATATGTTGCTACGTTTAGACGAAACGTACTACTCAGGAGGGCGATGAAAAATCTTCAACAGCCCACAAGGATTTCGCCCTTCTCAGAGCTCATCAGGTAGGTGCAGTCCCGAGTTTCTGCCACCCCTATATTGTCCTGTTGCTCGGGACTCAATGGAACTCCGTGAGGTACACAGTGCTACTGCATCCCAGACGAGTCTCCCGTCAAGACCAGATTGGTGCACAAATGAGTGTATTCCGCTAATTTCGTGCGATTGGGTTCGGGTGGAACATAGGGTTGACGGAAACTCAGAGACTGTGCCTGCCTGATGAGCCGCAAGAAGGGTGAAACCGGTGATGGGCTGTTGAAGAGTTTTCAGCAACCTCATGAATAATGTATTAGGTATTTACAAAGTATCGCAATATATAGAATATCGTGTCAACAGAAACATGAGGCGGCCTGGTGCAGCATATCCACTTGCCTAAAAACATCATTAATGAGATATTCAGTTGGGTTCCAGGCGAGCCTCCCACAAATGAGTGTATATTCCGTTTTTAGCTGTCTTACTTCTAAATAACAAGCAAAAAGTACGCAATAAAGTGAGGTGAGTTGAAAAGAATTAACAGAACGTGTTTTTCTAGCAAATGGCTCATGGAATACCTGAGTGGATCTGCAATCAATTACTTACCAACATGTGCGCCAGTTCAGATAAACTGATTCAGTTACAGCCGTTTTGCGCTGACGGATTAATGCCAATCCGCTTATCTCGCCGGTTGCATGTCCAGGGTTCACAACAAGGTCTGGCTCTAAAAAATGTATAACTCAGTTCCAATCTCTTTAATGTAGGATCTTTTTTGCAGGTAAGCCCCTACACTGCTCTCAAAATCATGACTTTCGTCAACACATAGACCCCGATTCTCTCTTAGAATGGAAAAAATCACCTCATTCGTCTACTCTGTCAACCCAGATGTTTGTGCTTTAAAGTTGCCCTGATTCAACATTCCAAGCATTTGAAGCAATCAAGTGAAGTCGACCATGGTTAATTTGTTTCAGGGGCTCAAAACATGGAACGTGCCGAGGTAACCTTTGGTAGGTTGGGCAAATACTCATCACTCTGATGACTTCAAGGTCCTGGCGTTCCGTGGTGACCTGGGAAACATCAGACACTGTTGCTCCAGTAGTCTCCTAGTTATGGGTTTGCTTTCAATGTGAGTAAAGGTGGCGAAAACAAATAGCCTCACTCGTATTTTCCGGTTCTATAAGCCTTCACCTGCGAGTGGACACATATCATCGTTCGAATCAGGCCCAACATGTGAAACAAATGTGAGGGAGAACGCGGTCGATTACGGACCTTCGCGGCTTCTCGTGTTCCACCAGGACTGATAGTTCGTTGAGATCGCTCCTGGTGGAAGCAAAATAGTTTAGGGGCAAATTGTGCCTAGTTCATACTGTTCCTGTTCAGTGTTGTAGAGTGCTCCCTTTCTCTAGGGACTTTGTAAAACTGTGAGAGTACCCAGTTACATTCGGTTAGGCCGATATCATCCCTGCGAGCTACACAGACGGACGGTCGCTGAATAGCTAATAGTAATACGCAAGTGCATATTAACAAATTCTCCAACGGTCACTATATAGCGAGGGCGTGGGAATTTCCTTAACATGTACGCCACTTATTGTATGATACTGCGGACAAGTACTGACTCCCTGATCTTCATTTAATATAACCTAAATGAATTCATGGTTTATTACGCGATGGCGGTAGCAGACAGATTTACTGATTCTAGTTTTAGCATAGCTGGCCAGATAAATACCACGATCGCGCATGTCCGCGATGCTTTCCCTCTAGCGCGATCGCTCCTTTGAGCGAAGGGTAGGTTCACAATCTCTTCAGCACATCCGTTGCCGATATGACTTGGTCTATGGGAAAGAGTGAGGAAGGAAATATACTGGTGGCCCAAGCAAACTATAACTGGATAGCTTCGTGTCATGCATGGCACTATCTGCTTCAATCCCTGGCTAAATTAACGGTGAATCGTTGATGCTGTAGATAGATCTACACAAAAGTGAGCAACGTGATTTCATGCTTGGGAAGACCACAAGTCGCAACGCAAAGGCTTACGCTTCCAGTAATCCCATCCGTCGTGGCTCAACCGGAGGTTTCTCGTTTCAACGCTGCTTCATCCTGTTCAACCAGCTCTCCACATGTTGCATAGCATGCAGTCCTCGATCGCACGTGGAACAGATTCAGGTAAAACAAACTTTCTGCCAAAAGACCGTGGAAAACTGATGCCAACCTCTTGCTGAGTTTGTCCTCCAGTCTCGTGGCGATCGTGCCTAAGTCTTTAGGAATCGATGGCACGATAAACTTTGATTTCGACTTGCAGTTGTGAATAAAGCATCAGTTTAAAAATGTAGGGCATGTCCTATTAAGCTAAGGCTGATTAGAACCAACGGTCGGTTTCACATTACTTGCAGATTATCGGCCGTGGTTAACGGACTGGTTGTCGAGGCACGACTCATAGGAATTCTTTGTTGATGATTTTTCACGCAACCTCAGTTTGCAATTTGATATAGCTGACGTTTACATCACTTTTGTTTGAACACACACCCAGTCCTCGAATTTTAGTCAGTTTTATGTTCTACATAAGCACTAAATTGCACGTAATAGGTGAAAAGTATGTAGTTGCAAATGACTCTGGTGTTAAAGGGAGATCTAGCTAAATCCTAATAGAACTCCTCATTTGTGGTGTTCTTTTGCTGCATACAATGTTGTTTCAGGCAGTCAAAAGGTTGACGGGAACTCAGAGACCGCGTCTGCTTGATGAACCCGAAGAAGGACGAAACCGGTTGCGGGTTGTCGAAAAGTTTTCAGTAACCTCATGAGTAGCAAGTTCCGCTAAGCCAACATACTGAGATATCTGGAATAGCGTGCCAAACGAAACACAGACTGGCTTATGTGCGGCACATTCGTTTGTAGGGTATCATATACAAAAGATTCAGTTTGGATTTGGCTATCTCCCTTTAAAACCAGCTTTATTTGTAACGCATGTATTCCTCCACCTGGCCCACTAACCCACCACTACGCATCTACACTACCTTAGCTACCGACATTCTCCTCTATAGCGTCAGAATATTGTTAACTCGAGTGAGCAGCGGCTATCTGATCAACTAACACCCAGTATCTATTACACATTTGAGTTAGTTTGTGGGGGCACAACTATTTTGAATCGTGGTCATATCGTGTTTCATTACCTGCTTTCAGATAGGCACCGTGTATATTCGAGATTATTTTCTATGGATTTCTGGATTTATTGGATGGTTTTGAACGTTCTTTTGTATGTTCTCATAGTGGTGCATAATGCGATCGATTAAAGTGGTCAAAATGGTCACATCACCTGATCTTCCCTAATCTCGAGGAGCGTTTGTGTACTGATGTTTGAGTTCAACTTGGAAATCACTTCAAATTTAAATGTGCTTGTGTTAGGTTTCTATGTTGTCCAGAAAACTGGATATATCGAGCCACAGAAAAAACGAATAACCTGCGTGAGTTCCACATGCCTGTCTGACGAGGCTTCTCTCTACGACCCCACTTTGCTCATTCGAATGACATGTCGGTGACTGAGAGGAAACAGGGAGTCTGTCAGGCGCGCTACGATCTCAATCGAGTATTTGTTGCTTCAAGATCACTGGATAGGCGGCGAAACAAGCTGAAAGTGACTTGAATATATTGGTCACAGGGTTTAAGTGTGTTGTCCTCTTGTAAGATCTCTCTAAATCTCCAGGTCACTCAGGAAAACGTAGCTGTGTTGACTATAAAACAGAATATGCTAAATTGGCATGACTGCACTCCACGAAGGAGATCAACTGCTGGTCGGGATTTGAGATACATTACCCCAACCAAGCAGAAAATTTTCTGTTAACTGCAGGGAGCCCAGGCACTTAAAGGGACAGGGAACATGTACATTCCTTCAGTAAACATTTCAACAGCGTCAGACCATCAGAACTTGAGAAAAATGTTACGAACTAATCTTATATTAAACCACCATTCCCACCTGTCGACTGTAGGCTGTAAGCTGACTGTCACATTTTTTGGCATACGATTGTTTATACCAACGCAATCGATCGGATAACTTTGTTTATATAACAACGCTAGGTCAGAGAGTATTCGACATCTGCTAGCTTAGTTTGAAACAAAGCGACCACCAACCTGGATATGAGCTGAGGAAATAACCCGAGAATGTTGTCCTTTAGAAATGCTCGAACCACAGCGATGGAACCACAGATGGTTTCGCATCCCCACATTCCGTGCAACCGAGTTCATCTGTTAACTACCATGGATATACAGCAATCTCGGTGTTTGGTTAGTGCGACCTCTAATTTTAAATAGGAGGGAAAAAGTCGTTCTTCTTATTGAACAGTAGGATGACCAGATGAATATTCTACGTGTTTTCAGAAATGACACAATTTTTTCCCTACTAATTGCATGCTGAAATATGATAATCGATAGTCCCGACTTTGATTCAAATTGGCCAAACACCTAGAGCACTACGGGATACTGGATAGTCTTTTTTATCTCAAGATTGACCGGTCAGACAAACAAGGTATTGGCCTGTTCTGGTCGTGACAGGACCACCCATATTTTGCACCACAGTTTCACTTCCAGTAGGCTAAATTAAAAAAAGTGTCAATCATTGGGTGAGAGACAACATGGGAAGTTAAACTCGGAACTTGAAGGAACATAATCATGATTAACCAACGTAAAACGTCAGAAAGTGAAATAAATTGGCACTAAGAATTACGGGAACAGCTCATGGGATCGTCTGATTAAGCAGAACATAAGGTTGACGGAAACTCGGGGACTGCGCCTACCTGATGAGCCCCAAGAAGGGGAAAGCCGGTCGTGGGCCGTCGAATAGTTTTCAGCAACCTTGTGAGTAGTTTCCTTCATGAAGAATGAGCCTGATGATCCTTTCTGGTGATCGGTTTTATTTCCACATACCTTTAGCAAACCAGTTGAAGATTTGTTGACGAGCCTTCCTGCATTTCTTTGTGAGTGAAGCTGCCTCTCAGTCCGGAGGGGTGGTTTCCTTTTGCACTCCAGTATATCCGCTACGCTAGGGTGGTCACGGGGTCCCAGTCAAGTGGAAACTGAGACTACTGTTTTTTCAATCAATAGAGTTCACAAGAAGGAACAGAATGTAGCTGTAGACGATGTAAGAAACGTGAACCGGAAAAAGGACTCATCAATGAATTTCAGCCCCCGGCTACCGATGCGTGGAAACGATTCAGAAAAAACGGAGCGAAGAAAAGTGGTGATAACAAACCGATTGTATCACTCGACGCGCGCCCGCTGTTTACTTGTTTTGCCGGCTGAATTTACCGTTCGGTAACAGGAGTTTTTAGATCGGAGGAAAACGAGTTCCAAATCGATATCGGCTTGACCACATACTCTGGATAGTATTTTGAGCTACCGGAAGGGGCATTACCGGAGCTGTCAGCACTATGATTAATCGTTTTTTGGGGCTAAATTTTATTTTTTCAAGCAAAGTGAACGGGGACGAAGTACAACTTTGTACGTCAATGTAGTTGATGATCTTCCGTTCATAATAGAGAATGGGAAGGATGAGAAGTTGACATGCTCTCATTTAGTCATTACACGACCATCGAATATACAAACGAATGTTCATGGAAGCCCAACATAAACATACTAAAATCCAAACTGGGATATTAAACACCCAAAAGGCCACAAGAAAGACCGTATTTTTACATCACTCAAGCGGAATAAACCACAAAGTAACACAATATGGATAAAGTTTGACGAAGAATGCCATCGCTGAGAAGTTTTCAAGAAAAGTATTTTGGACGATATCTGACTAGAACAAAAGGCCAGAAGAATCATCCTTCTGCTCTGAAAATGTGGGATTACTGTATTTTGTAAGCCAGCCAACACAACCGGTAGGCACTTTCCAAAGCACGGGGAAAACCAAGAAGGATGGAGAAGTCTTACAACATACTGGAAATTAAAGATAACGACAGCGAGCAGTGCTGGGAGAAAACAACTGGAACAAGCCTGTCAACCAGATTCCCTGAACATCAGCTCGCCTATATGAGGACAATAAACCTAATTTCAACTGGAATGATCAATACAAACAAGAACGGGAAGAGAATGCGTGGTTACGGAATTGTGGCACTCTACTGAAATGGATACGTAAACATACTGATACAGGTTTAGTAAAAGAACTAATGAGGTCAAACAAGGCTGTGAACACAGGCCGCCTCATGTTTCAGTTGGTACGATATTCGAGATATCGAAGTATATTTTCATAAAGGAAACTACTCACAAGGTTGCTGAAAACTATTCGACGGCCCACGACCGGCTTTCCCCTTCTTGGGGCTCATCAGGTAGGCGCAGTCTCCGAGTCTCCGTCAACCTTATATTTTAACTGAACTCAAATTGAACTGTTTCCAAGAAATATACTCACTTGCAAATCAATTTGCCAACTGAAACATCAGGCGAACTGTGCAGCACATTCAGTTGTAGAATATCATAAACGAGAGATTCAGTTGAGTCTCTCGTGAAAACCGAGTTCATTTGCAAAAGAGTGTACTTCTAAAAAAAACAGTCCAATTTGGGTTCAAGTAGAACATAAGGTTGACGGAAACTCGGGGACTGCGCCTAAATGATGAGCCCCAAAAAGAGCGAAACTGCTCATGGGCTGTCGAAGAGTTTTCAGCAATCTTGTGAGTAGTGTCCCCTAAGAAGACTGTGAACAGTTTAACGGAAAAGGTGTCAACGAGATAAGCAAAGATCTAAGGAAAAACCACCAGCAAACGTAGTTCGCATACGCATCACCGGGACATCCAGTCAGAATGATATTGTAGAATAAGAGACGGATACAGCACAGTAACCTACATCAGCTAAGATTTGCCAAGCTTCAAGGCAACTGTTGAGGTTCCCGATACGGAACTTTGAGTAACGCGCAAGTTGGACAATCCCGAATAGCAATAGGAAGAATTGGGTTCGAAACTCTACGGTACTATATACAAAAGAGTAAACAAATGTATACGACAAACCTCGAATGCCCGCGTTTGTAGTGTCAGCAAGTGCACAAACAACGGCGAGGGGAATATTGGCTCAGTTAGTTTGGTTTGCGGTCGTCCTTTCCGACGACAGTCTCGAGATTCTCATTGGCGGTGCGATTACACGAAACTCATGGGAAAACAATTCAAGTCAGGCTCAGCAAGCGGGATACGAACGCCCTTGGGTAGGTAGGTCAGCTGCGCACATTCACGCAGGAAATACCAATACACAGGTGTTTGACGGCCTTTGCCGCAAGGTGAGTGGCAGATACCAATAAGCGAAACAAACGGAGAGTAAAAGTACATGGGCGAAGTAAGCAAATGAATGGGAAAATTGTCATGAAATCAGATAAGACTCAATGGCCACTTTGTTCTTCAACCCTGAGATCGTGTCCTAAATCGATCAGCAGACATTCCGCGTTCTGTTTATAATTCCAGCAACGTCTTCTACTTTCTGAAAAGTGCATCTCAAGATTTACGGCTTTAATTTCGGGATTTCAGCAGTCTGGGAATAAATAAGTTTCTTTTTGGTTCTTGTTTCGTTTTGATTTCACCGATGACACTTGGACGGGAGTGGGGCCACTTTCATCAGTTTGTTGGGTCGAATGAACCACAGGCGGCGAAGATTACCAGACTGATGCAATCATTTTGCTCAAAGCTCGGGGCAAGACCAAGACTCTAAAAGTGTAAGTAAATGTTTGGCTTCCCGTACTTATGAGGAGTTCGAACTGGGTAGTGTACTACAAAGAAACTTCTTTGTGAACCTTAATGGGCATGTAAACTGGTCACTCAGGACCGAGTACGGGAGAGTGGTCAGAAATGAGTTATCCCATATAGAAGCAGCGGAACTACGAAGCGAAAATCTGTTAGTCCCTAAGGGCCCGTGACAGTATGGAAGTAAAAACACCGTAAATTTTTCCATGGACCTCCGTGAACACAATGGATGTAACCCAAAGACTTGCTTATTGGCCTCTCAGAAGTCAAACTTGCGACTGCTCTGTCCACTCAATGTGTTATGATACACTCACCTCAAAATCTCACCTAAGCACTATTCCAAGCTTGAACGCTCCAATGTAAGATGAGCAACTCTGAATCCGCTGAATGTGAAACTCAGAGATATACTAGTATTGAAAAAATACTACTATTGGGGTTTCAGGACTCATACAGAATAGACCAGCTTAAAATTAACTTTGTGTTTCTTCACTTAAGCTAGGATACTGCATGAAGTCAGTTTGTAAGTAACTCAACTACAATGCACTTGTTATGGCTGCATTCAGGTGTAGAGCGATCGGGTACTTGATACGCATTGTAGCTTCATACTGCTGACTTGATTACCACTGACTTATTCGCACCTTTGATAAATTGATGAAAAAAGATTGGGGTGGACCCCTGTTGAACAGACATTTTATTATCACAAATAAATCAAAATTGAGTTTTGCACTTTTTAGAGTCAGAACTTGTTGTAAACCCCGGACATGCAACCGGCGAGATAAGCGGATTGGCATTAATCCGTCAGCGCAAAACGGCTGTAACTGAATCAGTTTATCTGAACTGGCGCACATGTTGGTAAGTAATTGATTGCAGATCCACTCAGGTATTCCATGAGCCATTTGCTAGAAAAACACGTTCTGTTAATTCTTTTCAACTCACCTCACTTTATTGCGTACTTTTTGCTTGTTATTTAGAAGTAAGACAGCTAAAAACGGAATATACACTCATTTGTGGGAGGCTCGCCTGGAACCCAACTGAATATCTCATTAATGATGTTTTTAGGCAAGTGGATATGCTGCACCAGGCCGCCTCATGTTTCTGTTGACACGATATTCTATATATTGCGATACTTTGTAAATACCTAATACATTATTCATGAGGTTGCTGAAAACTCTTCAACAGCCCATCACCGGTTTCACCCTTCTTGCGGCTCATCAGGCAGGCACAGTCTCTGAGTTTCCGTCAACCCTATGTTCCACCCGAACCCAATCGCACGAAATTAGCGGAATACACTCATTTGTGCACCAATCTGGTCTTGACGGGAGACTCGTCTGGGATGCAGTAGCACTGTGTACCTCACGGAGTTCCATTGAGTCCCGAGCAACATGACAATATAGGAGTGACGGAAACTCGGGACTGTGCCTACCTGTTGAGCTCTGAGAAGGGCGAAATCCTTGTGGGCTGTTGAAGATTTTTCATCGCCCTCCTGAGTAGTACGTTTCGTCTAAACGTAGCAACATATTTATTATAAGAGTATATGAAGCAAAGTTAGAATATCGCCGGTTAGCAGTGTTCCGGTAGGCGAACGGCGAATGCACTCAGTTCATCAGCAAGTGACTCGTTTCCAGGAGGAATAAGTATCGGACAGATGCGGCAACCATTATCGTCAACTTTACAGTATTTCTACCGGGCCAGACGGGTAAATCACCATTTTCACTGAGGTCGCTTGCCACAGGTAGGCGCTGGCTGGTAGCCGTGGACTGCCGAGGAGTTTTCAGCAACCATATGTGTAGTGTGTCACGTCTGCATAATAGAGAATGTTGTGTAATCAACTTGAACCAACCGGAATACCGAGTCGTTCGTATGAGCCAAAAATAAATGGGGATTCCTAATTAATTTAAATCGGCCTCGGTACCGAGCGAGTTCTTGTAAAACCGAGATTGCCAGAACCTGAATTGCACCAATGTAGACAGGTGAATAACCAACTAAAATTACTTGATATATCCATCCTAATGTATAACAGTACTTGTGGTTTGGGGGGTGGGTATTGGCCAGTTTGAAATACCGAAATTTTCAGGCCCAGAAATAGACGCTGGCTGCATGTGCCGCTACACCCTGGTACGTTTTAAGATGTTTATGAGAGGTGAAGGTTAGGTAGGATAGATAACATGATCATACTAGCGTAACAGCAATTCGTTTTAACACGAGGCGAATGACCTTCCTGCCAAAAAGTGCAATTCATGTCATTGGGGAAATCGGTGCAATAGCCTCTTCATCTCTCTGTCTTGTTCCTTATATAAAACGGACGAACAGCTTCGGGTTCAAGTTGTTTATTGCAACAGATTTGGCAGAATGTTTTGAAAGCACAGTTCAACGAAAAAACAGATGTTGGGTGATTTATGTTTCTTCCCAAGCGAATTAGCCAATAAAACGTCATTCAAGGGTTGTTTGTCTTTTGTATCGCCCGAACAGCATGCAACGCGTAAAATACTGCAACAAATTTGCACGCCCATGTTATCCATGTTCGTCCCAACTTGGTCGCTCAGAGACGTCCAATGATAATCTGCGGAGCAGTTATATCCATCTTTCCTTCACTTTCTGTATGAGGTTATACCCTCAAGTCACATAGAAACTTTTAGATCGAATGGATGAGGGAGATACAGAAGTGATCGTCAGGTCAAGTGGCGGATGCGCCCTGAAGTGCTAACAGGGTGAACAAAATTGCTGGCCAAAACCCCGGCTAGTCAGTTCGAGGAATCTTGGATACGGACTCATTCACACTTTGGTTCTGCACATATGCAACCCCGAGACCTGATATTGAGACGAAATTCGGTAGCCCAGGTATCTTTGTTCGCTGAGCTGGATACTCTAATCGCAAAGGTCAGTCGAGCTGACAACAACACTTCGTTGTTAGGCTACTTCAGGTAGTGGTGATCCAGGGTTTGTACGTTTAGCATTCGTTCATATGGGCTAATACACGTGCTGTTAAACGGAATCGACTTTCTGAGGAAACTGATCCGAAGACGGAAGAATACGTTGATAAAAACAAAAGAAGTAACGTAGCATGTCCAACCGACTGCAACAAATTCTACGTTAGACAACCTGGGAGGAAATAGGTGCATGAATAGAAGAACACAATTTGGCCATCAGAAGACATGACGCTTTATTCTTGACAAAATCTAATTTTAAAATGTCCAGATCTTCTAGCACTCCCGTCAGCCGTTTTTCCTCTTTGTTAACGTACATCCAAGACTATTTGGGTACGATATTTGTGTTCCAGCAATGTGAACAGTTAAGTTTGAAAGAAGCGCTGGCTGTCGACTGTCAGCTGTTATTGATTTTCGATGTTATGTGTACGAAAACAGTAGTCGGTCGAGATGAGATGTCAGTTGGTACTTTGAATTTCCT